TTATTTTCATCGTAAACCTTCCCCAAGCCACAACACTTCTAGCGATTCCTTTCATGCTTCAAAAATAGTACATATATATCTTCTAGCTGTTACAAAAAAAAAAATCTGAAATGTTTCAGATTTTAAATTACGTCCAAAGGGCGTTTTTAACATTTTGTGTGTTACCTTTCTTTATTAAATATCATGTTCCTCGCACTTAAACCATAAGATCCAGTGCAACAGCAATATCGCAAAATAGTTTTAAAACGAGCATATCTTTAGAATTTCCGATACAGAGACTCACGCGCTGGAGATAAAAATGTTTTTTCTGCACAACGTTGCCATTGCTCGCTTTGAAATCCTTGAGTTTGTTAATCAAAAATTCGTCAAAGTTTTAAAAAATAGGAAATCGATCATAAAACAAATTTCAAATTTCAAATTTGGTCTTCCACATGCTCCATATTCGCAGTTGGAGGATTACGTTATTCAAATTCGATGACTCTATGTACCGTTATTTTATCACAATGCGAGAGAAATATACATACATTTACGCAGATTTTCATTATTTGAATTTCTTCAAATATAATGCAGGACTCTAACATTTTATGGCAACAGTTTGAAAGTGAACCGACATTTATCCGAGTCCGACGCAAAATGCCAAAACGAAACTAATAGTCCTTCGGGATTCAAATCCCTTTGGACTAAAAAAAAAAAAAAAAAAAATAGGTTTTTTAGTTCCAGTGCATAGCTAGGGTGGGGAAAGGGGGACATCTGTCCCCGGGCGCAGCATCCAAGGGCGCAATTGATTCTCGAAATTTTTTTAATGAAATGTTTTACATCCTTGGCACACAGAAAGGGGTGCAAATTCTTCAGTTGTCCCCGGGCACTGGAAACTCTAGCTACTTCCCTGTTAGTTTCTAAGATGTAGTGTACCCTGATTGCGTGAAGAATTTTATCCTTTATAACATTTTTCTCCCCTTTTCCTCAACTTTAGCCAGCATTGCTTTCGTGTTTTATGATTTTATAGAAGACAGCATCTTTTAGAAGTTTCCTACGCTGCCATATTTTGGAGTCAAAGATCACTTTTCTTGGTAGTCATAATTTTTACAGACTGCACACAATGTTTAACAGGATGGACATTTTGAACACATTTGTAAATGCTTAATTCTGCTGTTGGACACTTTGAACCTTACGCATTCTTTTTCAAAGAACTACGATTTTTTGTATCTACAGAACAGCTTTGAATTCTCAAAGAACACAGTTTGGTTGTCTAAAGAATTAAGTACAGTCAAAAGTCTTTAATCCGGACCTCAAAGCTACAAACTTTCTGTGCATGCGTGCACGTTTAATGTATAGCAGACGGTATAAGCCAAGCTAAAATTAATGTTGCATATTGCATTGTTCCTTAATCTTTTAATTGGATCCGGCTTATTATTTTTTGCAGACTGTTAGAGCAATTTTATAAAAGTAAGCTTGAACTTTCGATTATGTCAAAAAGAATTTCCAATTCGGGAGCTGCCCAATTCTGTTCTACAAAGCGAAAGCATGTTTCGATGTCATCAACAAAAGTATAATTGCTGCAAAAAGGATAAGGCATCCTTTGTTTCTCTACCATTCCGAAATCTGTTTTAATTTCACGCTGCTCGCAGGGGGGGGGGATGTCGCGGCACTGAACTGGAAGTTGATCTGTCACACTATCCTTATCTTCGGGCAGATGTTTTTATTTATTCGGCTTATAATTTTTATAAATGTAGTATTTCTCTCGATGTACTCCATCTTTGATATGATTTAAAAATTCCTCTCATTATAATATCACAATACACATCAAATAGTTTCTGGTTGCAATTTTAATTTCGACTATGCAATAATTCTTTACGCATGCGCACGTTAAAGAAATGTTTAATAAAGTAAACAAATAAATATTAGCTTTTTTTTAAATTTGATACCCTTTAGATTAATTGCTCTTTTTCATAAATTATGGTTTCATATTTTTAATAATTTCTGCATGATCTTACAGATTTTAATGAGATCTGTATCGGAATCGCTGAGTCCTGACGAGCCCAATTAAAGACTTTGCGTATATTTCATCGAATGTCATCCTAAGGTTCAGTAGTTGCTTTTTTTTTTTTTTTTTTTTTTTTTTTTTTGTTTTCAATTTATTTCAGTTGTAGCTGATAAGCTCAATTTTTTTTATTTTGAAAGAATGTTGTGAACGTTTCCCTTTCTTGGCTAAAATTACTGAGAATATCAGACCCCCAATTGGTTATGTTGTGTAAAGACATTTGGTCTAAAGTATTGTTTATCTTTGTATTTATTTGCTTTGATTTCAAATTGCATGTACTATTTTAGACCATTTCATTTTTTTTAATGGTTTTTACATAATGTAAAGTTTTGCGGGGGGGTAGTGTTAATTTGCACATGTTATGTTTTATTCGTTTTCCAAGTGTTTCGAGGCTGTAAGGAAACTTACGGGGTTTTATGTGGTGTAAAATGCATTGTCTAAAGATTGTTTGTCTTTTACTTATTGCTTTGAATTTCAATTGCATATAATAACCATTTGATTTTTTTGAATGTTTTTTACATATGTAAGTTTTTTTTTTTTTTTTTTTGATTAGTGATTTGAATAGGTTATTTATGTATTATTTTATCCGGTTTGAAGGCGTGTAAGGAAATCCGGTACGTTTTGTTGTTTAAATTACAATTTGTCTAAGTATATTTGTTTTGCTCTTATTGTTTGCTTTGATTCATATTGATATAATGTTTAGACTATTTTTTTAATGTTCTTTTTACACATTTTTACATAAGTTATCTTTTTTTTTTTTTTTTTTTTTTTTTTTTATGAGTAGTTAATTTAGCCATGTTATGTTTTATTCATTTTACCAAGTTTAAAAGTGTGTAAAGGATCCGGTACATTTAGATTCGAGTTTTTGTTTCTGTGAATTAGTGTCTTAAATGAAATTGGTACTTCGTATTATCGCACCAGGTGGCGCGATTTGTAAGTTTGAGTAAAAAGTATGAATAAAAGAAAATGTACATTTTATTACAGATATTGTTAATAATTTTTTATATTATTTTGTTTTTAATATAAAAAGCAATTAAACCCTTCGGTTGTCGAATTTGAATAAGTTGCAGAGATTATTTTCGAGAAATGTGCCGAACTTTCGTCTTGCCGAAATAAAATTTCGTCTATTTCCACAATAATCATCGCCGCCTATTGCTTTCATTCTTTTTCATCCATTTCAGGGACATACCGCATGTATTATTCCAATCTCTAACAGTTTGTCCAGCTCTCTCTTCTGCACCATCTCTTCTGCACAAAAATTTATTGAGGTTAACTCTTTACACCAACAATAAATGATGTGCACCGCGTCACAAATGAAATTCGCTACCTTCAAAACCGATTTCGGTTCTCACCCCAAATGTTGATTGCACTCTTCAACATTACATTCAGAGATTTGCTTTTCATTTTATGAGAATTTTTACAAGTATTTTCATTCGGTATAATTCCATATCCCTGCAACAATTCAACAGCATCTTTTTCACTCGCAGGCAGATCCAAATACCCATAGTTAAAGTATTTCAGGGCATTAATCTAACCAGTAAGAAAATAATTTCTGTACGAAAAAACTACGTATAACACGTAGGGTTGCCGTAAGTAGGGTCGCCAAATTTGGCGATTTATGCGAATTTTGGCCTGGTTGCGTTAATACGTAAGTACCGAAAATTTAATAGATTCTTTTTTCTGTTTTTGATCTCAAATGGACCAGGAGAACGAAACATGTTTTTGAAACATATTAATCGACTTTTTTGAAGCTTTAATTCATTTTCCCGTAATGAATTCTGAATTGGAGTTTTAGTAAAAGGAGATTTATTTTTATTATTTTTTTTTCCCCCATTTTTATTTTTAGTGTTTGTACTACTATGAATTCTTATTTTAATTTTGATTGTTTGATATTCTGTTAAAACTCTTATACACAATTCCTATTATTAATATTGTTGAGGAATAACCTTGCTTTGACTCCAATTTACTTTAAACTTTTAAGATTCTTTAAGTCGCTATATATTTATATATTATATAGTTAAAAATAAAGAGCTGATTTTTGAAAAATGATTTGCTAAATATATTTTAGCATCTTTTTTCAATTATTTTATTTGCTCTGAATCAAACATATTTTTCTGATAGTTGTACTGAAATTAAGAGATACATCTTTTAGTTGGCAGCCTAAGAATTGAAGAAATTGGTATTTTGCTCTTAATTAAGAGAATTTGATGCAAATGTTTTTGAGCCCAAGACAGAGATTCAGTGTAGCTTAGATTAGTTATTTTATTTTAATTTGTTATTTAGCTGTTTGTCATTTGATTTGTCTCTCTGCTTTTGCTGTACTTTACCATTGTTTTAGATATTTTGTTTCATCCTTCCTGCTTCGTTCCATTATATGAACATTAGGACATTCTTGATTGTTTCATAATATTCCATGATTCTAAAAACAATTGATAATTTTCACTTCATCCTTTTGTTAATTCCACAGACCCATTGAAAATCAGAATAATTCTAATAGAATAAGACTGAGTGCATGGGTAGCAAGAAAGTTTAAGAGCATGGTTGTAACAAGGAAGCAGACTTTTATTGGCAGTCTGTTGCCATATCTTAATGACAAATGAAGTTCCAAGTGGCAGTTGAATTACATGAAGTATCAGTAGAATGTTAAATAATTCGTCTAAAATATTAATTGAAAAGTTTCATGAAGATTATTTTTGTAAGAATTTTATATAAATACTTGCTTTTATATGTTCATTATTTTTGTAAGAATTTTATCTGAATACTTGCTTTATATGTTCATTTATAGGAGCCAAGTAAAAAAAATTTTGTCTTTTTGAAAATTATTCAGGAATTTTTTCCATTTACCGTGTTTGATCCTTATATAAATTATAATTTTTATTTTTATTATATATATTATTTTTTTCCATTTCACATTTTTTTAATGCTTTCAAAATAAGTTTGTATTATAATGCTATAATTTTTCCAGAGTGTTAAGTGCCAAAGCTGTTTCCTCAGGATGGGATAGCTGATGAGCAAGCAAGTTCCTTTGTGCAATGATAGTAATGTTCAACTAAGATTTCTTTGTCCAGATGATGTTCCAGAAGTGAAAAAACTATGCACAGAATGGTTTCCCATCGAGTGAGATTATGCTTTATGTTTTGATCATTTCTGTTCTGATTATGCCTTTTATTAATATTTTAAAAATAATCTTAAAAGAAAGTTAATCTTCAAATTCTCCTATAAATTAAATTTTATGATTGCAGTTCATTTTCAGATATTATCATCATATATTCAAGTAAATTTATATTATTACTATGTTAAGGAAACAGCATTTATACCTCAAGGGCTCATTTTTAATTTTTGAGAGATTTACAAGTTAAATTTTTAACTGAATTTTTAAAAACTTCATGTTTCAAAAAACTCATCGATTTCTGTGCAGTGCATACATATTCATTTGAATTTTGAAAGTGTACTCTTAATTTCATCAATCGGTATATTTTGTATTTGACATTGCTTTGAATCTAATGTATTATTGTGAAAATATGACTTGTTGTTTGACTGGCTATTAAATATTTCCATAATATATGCTGAAAACAAGTATGCTGCTTGCCCGTGATTAATTTTATATTTTTAGCATCATTTAAGACAGAGCGGTAATGATAAAACAACCACTACATTTTTTATGCTAATGATGAATTACCCCTGATAAAATGACACTTTTAGTATGTAGGTTCGTTAATTTAAATCTTGACATGTTAAAATTATAGTTTCTTATTAATAATTTACTTCATTATTTGTTTTGAGTAATATGTTCTACAGTGTTGTTCAAAATTTGCTTTATATCTGTGTGAATAAGAACCAGTTTTTTAGAAATATACGAAATAAAATTGTATGAATATATTTTGTGTGATAGATAGCACTGTTACAATAAAATACAAGCTAGAAGATTGAATATAGATGCATATGATACAAAACAATATGATAAAACAAATAAAGCTCAAATAACGTTTGACAAGTTTGAGGAAAAAATAACTTGCAAATATGTAGATTTTTGACATCCATTGGTTTCTAAGCAAATGATGTTCCTAACCAGTTTATTTCTTCAGTGACTTCAGGTTCAAAAAAAATTTGTGAAACTAAATTTGTTTAATGTGAATGAACAATATCATTTATATAAACACAGATTTATAGTCATCTTCATGAAAGTCTTGTGCAGGGCTGTAAATATATATCTTGTTATCTTTGAGCAGTCACAATGCCTCTGTTGAACACATGTAGGCAAATATAATTATTGATCACTCTTCCTCTTTGTACCACTTATCAAACCTGTACTGCTGAAACAGTTGTTTTTTCTGATATGGGTAAGAATAGTTTGTCTTGTTTCTTTCCAGATGTGTCTAAAAATTCAGATTTTAAGCCAAACTTGAACTGGTGATTATAAAGAATGCAAGCCCAATATTGTAAATTGTAACTGTGATGTTCTGTGCACTATTCATGTGTCTTCTTCAAGTGAAATTAGTGAAACAGAAACCTTAGATTTTTTGGTAAAAAGGGCTAATAAATAATGTTTCCATGATACAAAATTTCGAGTGGCAGCTCTAAATTCTGCTGCATAACGGTCAATGATGAACAGTTACAAGTAGAAACAAATCTTAAGAAGCAGTAGTGTTTCATCTTCTAGACTCAACTTCCTAGCAACAATTATTTCAAGAAGGGAGAAACTGTTTCTCTGGAAGCATTCTGTTATTTTGTAATTGTCATTGTCTAACCTCTTTCTAAAAAGCTGATAGCTCTCCACATCAAAGATTCTTCCAAAAAATAAATGACCGTGAAAAGAAAATAGATTTGACTCAATAAACATTTACTTCAGATCTGATTTGCAAAAGTTTGCTGGTAAACATACTTTCTGCAAAGTATTTGTAACATAATAGAATTACATCATGCCATTATTTGCATTTCAGAAACTGATAGATCAAATTATGATCTATCAGTTTGATAGATAATTAATCAGTTTTTTATTCTAACTGATAGATCATAATTATCTATCAAACTGATTTGATCTATCAGTTTGATAGATAATTATGATCTATCAGTTTGATAGATAATTAACCTTGTTAATGATAACTAGGTGTGTCTTCTGTTTATTCTATGAAGAAAAAAATCAGATTGATTTGGTATTTAATGAAGTATTATCTTTAAATATGTGGAAATGATTTTAGATATCACTTTAACTGAGAAAAATTACATGTAAATAAATGACTTGAATAATTATTTTTATTTCATTTGTACTTTATCAATGAATTATTTTTAGAATTTCTTATCATTGCTCAATTCTACCCATGTAGGTAGAAAATATGCCTGCTAATGCTAATAATATCTGCAATTCAATTAGTTATTTAAGTTTTATCCAATCTAAAAATTTTATTGCTTGAGCTAAAATCATCCTTTTTTTGCAGTTCTTATTTGATGTTTACTAGTATAATATTTCTTAGTAATTCTTATTTTCTTGAAGTATTAGGAATTATTTTTGTAAGAATTTTATCTGAATACTTGCTTTATATGTTCATTTATAGGAGCCAAGTAAAATAAATTTTGTCTTTTTGAAAATTATTCAGGAATTTTTTCCACTTACAGTGTTTGATCCTTGTATAAATTATAATTTTTATTTTTATTATATATATTGTCAGGAAGATTATGTGGTGAGCAAAAAGGTATACTTTTAATTTATGATAAATGTGAAAATCATAAAATAAAATTCTGTTACATCACAAGCTATATAATTTAAAAACTATCTTAAAATTCATCTGTTAAGACTGAGCATAAAACTAATTATAGTATGTCATAGGAGCTAATAAAAACTTGAAAGTGAAATTAGCATTTTTATACATGTCAGCTTTGCAATTAATGCCTGCAGAATGATAAGTCTTGTTGTGTTTTTCTTTCTTATCTTCTGACACCAGTTGTTACTATAGGGTTCGTAGCGGTGCTTATGAGTGCTTATAAGTCCTTATATTTGAAAATAAAATATAAAGGCCCTTATAGGTGCTTTCTTTTTCTTTAAAGCCCTTATTTTTTGTTTTTAGTGCTTATTTTTTTTGCTTTAAGTGCTTTTTTTTTAATGAACGCGCTATTTTTCCCCGTACCAAAGCCGAAACTAAATAAACAACTCTTCTTCCTAATATGGAATGTCAAATGGTGAATCATACTCCCGGAAACAGCTTTTCCCCCTTTTTCTGCATTAACATAACCTTTGGTGTGCACAAAGAGTACAGACAGGTGCCCGTCGTTCTATTGGTCAAAGAATTGGGAAAGCAGTAGAAAATTCTGGTACATTCAGAATTATTTTCCTCCCACCCAAATATTACATACGTTTGAATTTCTATCAAGATCTTAAAAATTTGCATTCTCGTTCTGCTTGGCAAGTTCATATTTGTGTTTATTATGATCGTTATGCTTATATTATATGTATGAATGTTTATAATAACATAGTTGCAGTAACTGCTGAAGTATAGTAAACTTCCAAAAATGTTTGTGTTTTAACACAGATTAGCTTTCTAAGGAATAATATGAATAAAAGTTCTGCGGTCTACCAACCCAAGCGAAGAATGATTCTATTCCGGAAATTTAACGCCGTCTGTTGAAAATTAGAATGAAAAACACCCCAGTTATTTAGTTCTTTATTCTCCCAATACCGGCAGCTGTTGATTCCAATTGCGTAATATCACGTTATTCCGGCTCACGTATTGCGCAATAACGTTTGCAATATTTTGCAGAGATAATTAATTTTGATGTTCAGTCTGAGATTTGTTTATGAACACTAAGAGTTTTGCTGTGCTTGCTAAGAAGAATATTTTTCAGTTCCATTGGTTTATTTTTGTATGATGCACATATCGAAATGTCAAAAGCATTTATTTAGCAGAAAAATCTAAAGAGCGGCTTCAGTCTACCCTTCCCCCTCCGCTCCTCTTTTTCAAGTTACGCTCGGCTGTTCGAATATTCGCCAGTTTCCAAGTATGCGGGTTAGTTAAGCTTTTACTGTTAAAGGATGACTGCATGAAGCAAATTTCTGTCTTCTGATTTCAGAAATGTTCCTTTTTTTACTTAAATTACTTTGCTTGTAATATCCATTAAGGGAAAACTGATACTCATGTCCAAAATTATCTTTACATACCCAAAAATGATGATATTCAATGAAATATCGAATCAATGTGATCCGTATTTGCAGGGAATGTGTGAAAACCAAGCCTAATTAGTATTATCCAATCAAAAGTAATCAAATGGTTTGTGATATGCAAATCTAGGCGTTACGTCATCCAAGGGTGAATCTTTTGAAGCGCTTTGAGCAAACTGAATATTTGAGTGAATTTCTGCAACATAGCGTTTGATTTCAGTGTGTAGGGACTCAAAGCAGTTTGTTATGGCTTCGAAGTATCATTTGGAAGAATCTGTAAAGTGGCAAATTATCGGCCGTTTAGAAGCAGGGCAGTCAGTCATGGAAACAGCCACATGTCTGAATATTTCAAGACAGACAGTCTCTAAGCTATGGAAACAGTTTCAAAATGATGGAAGTGTTGTAAGGAGGCCTGAACAAGGTCGGAAACGAATGACAACTGCTTCTGAAGATCGGTATCTGGCATTAACTGCCCGTCGTAACAGAAAGGCTACTGCTCGCCAGTTAAGTTCAAAGCTTGCAGCCGCCACTGGAACTGTTGCATCACGGCAAACAATATACAGAAGGCTTAATGAAAAAGGCCAGGCCTTTATGCCAGAAAGCCAAGGGTATGTGTTTTACTGTCTTCACAGAAAAAGAGAGAGATCGCTTTAATTGGTGTAAAGAACATCAAAACTGGACTGAACATCAATGGTCCCATGTTCTCTTTACTGATGAGTCGCGGTTTAGTTTAACTGGTGATTCTAAACATGTTTACATCTGGAGGGAGTCAGGAACACGAAATGATCTCTCGAACATTGTGGAACGTGACCGTTTCGGTAGTGGAGGTGTGATGGTATGGGGTGGAATAATGATCAATGGACGTACGCCCCTACACGTGTTCAGCAGCGGATCTGTGACAGGCCAGATATATCGAGATGAGGTCTTAGATCCTTATGTAAGACTTTTCAGGGGTGCACATGGACCT